AAATGTAGTAATATATTTCTATATGATATAATTATATGCTCCATCCGTCCAAGCAAGAAGTATATATTTACTTTTGGAGCGGAATTTAAGAAATAATAGTATTTTAATTATAATGTGTAGATAAAAGTAGTGTAATGACATTTTTGCCCTTACTTTTTGGTATAAAAGTAATGATGTGATGTAAAGTAAAAGTATTTGTGGAAAAAAAAAGACTATTTAATGAAATGATTACTTTATAATTGGACGTCCAAAAATAAAAATATGTATATTTTGTAACTTGACGAAGGGAGTATTATATACTTCCTCTATCCGACTCTAAGGGTCTCATTTACCTTTGGTGTCATTGTACTTAAAATTAAAAATATCTTTATATTTGTATAATTTTTTGCACAAATATCATTATAATAGTATTAGAAGACACTAATAAAAATATTTTTATCATTTTTTCTTAATTTGTATTATATTTTTATATAATAATTAATATTAAAATATCCAAACGACAAGAGAAAAAAAAAAAAAAATTAACATTTTGACCAGTAACTCCTTAAACTTCCGCCATGGCCATAATTATTATATAGACAAGTACCCTTCAATGATAATTATTATGCATTAATTATAAAATCATGACCCACCAAATGTAAAGTAAACTTTCCGTCCGCAAAAATCAAAAGGGTGTCTTTGTCTCTATGCATATACATATTTTCAATTTTTATATGATATAATTTTTGAAAAAAATATCTAACATACAATTTTAATTGTTTATTTATTTTTATAAGGTGATAATCCACAGTCACTATTCGTCAAGTATGCTCTCAGTAAACTCCCGGTCGAACTTAATATCCTATAAATTAGACCTGATAAGTTTTAATAGTTAATAGTATTAGGCTGTATATGTTTGAAAAATATTTTGATATGAATTTTAAAAGTATTTTGAAAGTGTTTAAGATGAAATGAATGAGATAAATTTTTTTTTGTTTGTTTATCCAACCAAGTTTTTTTGACATAATTTTTAATAAATATTAATTAAAAAATACAATATATGCACATATTCACATAATATAAATACTTCATTTGTCCATTCAAATTAGCATATTTTGATCCAATATGAAAATTTTTTTTAAAAAATAAATACTTTTATAAAAAAATAATAGTTTGAGATATTTTTGGACATTTAGCTAATAATTAAAAAAATACAGAAAGATAATGTAATAAAAATAGTGACATTTATGATAATAATCGTTCAATAGACGATAATAGTTCAACGTTGATTTATTATTATTATTATTATTATTATTATTTGTCAAAATTAGTAAAGAAATAAATTTAGCAAACGAAACTTAAAAGAAAAAAAAAGAAGCTAAAAACAAATTTCACATTTGTTATTTTAAAATTTAGATAAACAAACCAAAATAGAAACAAAGGACTCATCATAGGGCAAAATGGAAATAATATTTTTGAATATTATATTTGAATAATTTGTAAAATTATTATTATTTTTAAATGAAAATATTTTGGATAGAAGTGGGGTTTGTTGCTATAATTATATATATATATACATTGATAAATTCAAAATTTTAAAAGTCCAATTAATCAAATATTAGGGTTGCGGTCATCACAACTAAAGAGATTATACTAATTAAGCCAAAATCGTAAAAGATAAAAAAGTGAAAAAGTAATTTTTCACCCAAAACTGTACAAATTTAAAAAAACTTCGATTCTCGCTTCATTAATTGTCGGATCAAATTAAAATTTTCACGGAGTATTTGTAATTTGTTGATTTACAATCGGATGTTTATAATTCGACCAGAATGTTATCGAATGTGACAAATTATTTAGATTTGTTTTATTGATCTTGATTTTTTTTATTTTTTTAACTTTGTAATTTTCATTGGTTAAATAAATAGTGAATGAGACATGTTTATACGTATTTTATATTATTATATTTAATTAAACAACAAATATCTTCTCCATCCAAATATTGCGTCCTTCGCAAATATGCACGAAATATTTTAAATGTTATGCAAGTAAATTGACTAAAGCGTATTAAATATCATTTCTTGAATAATAAATAATAATTAGCATTTCAATTAACAATTTATAAAAATTAAGTTAGATTTTGTCGTTCAATTTATAAATCATTAAAATGAAGTGTTGATTAATTTTGTCGTTCAATTTATAAATCATTAAAATGAAGGGTTGATTAAGTTTTTTTCTATTTATTTTATTCAATTTGCGTATTTACAAACAACGTCAACATTAAAATAAATATGATATTTTTGTGTTTACTTTAATAAGTAGTATAATATATGAAATTCACCCAATAAATAAAATACAAAAAAATACTATTATGCAATTGACTAGCAAAAAAAAAAAAAACAACTTAAAACTAAAAATTGAATAATTTTCATCACAATTCAATATTCTTATTTTATCATTTCTATCGTCTTATATAATAATATCATTATAATAAATAATTATATTATTATGAAACTACGGATTTGTTGTTTTAGCAAAATATTCTATACACATTTTCTCAAAAAACTCTATACTTCATAAAGAAAAAAAAAATATCCCTTCAAAATATTTTACAAAACAAATACACACCACTACTTTTTATACTTTTATTAGATCACACTTAGAGCATCCGTTTCAGTAATTGTCTCTACATCATTATCTCTCGTCCGCAATATATCCAGCTCAATATTCAAATTAATTTATTTATCAGTTGTTATAATAATCACTTTCAACACATTACATTTACTATATTATAGGATCCACAATAATTTATTTATTTCTATATATTTTTATTACATAATATATACTCTCTCCGTCCTATAACAAAAATATTTATTTTTTCATTTTGGTCCGTCCCATAACAAAATATCTATTTCCTTTTTTTAGTAACTACACTATCTACCTAACATTACAAATACCCTTACAACTTACAATATATTACACAAATACCATTACTTTTATATCACACAATACTAATAAGGTTATTTTAGTAATTTCTACTTTATTCATACTATATCCCAATATAATATTAATATTTTTAAAATTACGTGCAAAAAACAAACGGATACATAATTATGAGACGGAAGGAGTATTATTTATTTATTTATACATATTTTTATATAGTTTTATTGTCTAATAATATTTTTATACTCTCCCCGTCTCAAAATATTTGTCTTTATTTTTCTATTTTCGTCCGTCCTAAAACAATTGTCTTGTTTCCTTATTTAGTAGCCGTAGTACCCACTTTATAACAAAATTATTCATACTTTTTCATACTACCCCTAATTATTACTCTAATATACCCTTTAAAATCCTTCAAAAAGCAAGGGTATTTTAGTAATTTATATTCTACTTTATACCCACTTTCAATTAAATATTATTATTCTTTAATTCCCTTGCCAACTCTCAATAAGACACTTCTTTTGGACGAAGGAAGTATAATATTATATTTTAATTTTTAAATATTAATCTATATAATTTTTAATATATTGAAATATAATTTACAATTTTAAAAATTAAAATTATTAAAAATAAATCTACATATATATATATTTATAGCTAATTTCGGTTAAATTTAAAATTTAATTTTTTTTAAAAAAAAATATTTAATTATTATTTTTTTGTTGTTGAAAGTAATTCATGACAAAAGTTAATAAAGTACATAATAACTGTATTTCCTTATTACAAGTACTGAAAAATATAACTAATTATTATAGTAAAAACTAAAAATACAATTATAAAGGTAATGAGTAATAAGAAATGTGACCGCAACATATGCTTTTACAAAGATAAAATTGTTTTGGTCCATATTTTCTACCCTGTTTATATAATATAAATATATTTTTTTTAATTTCACAAAAAAATAAAAAAAATAAAAAAAATAGTGTCTTGTTTTGTACTAAATCTTCAAATTTTATTATTTACATTATGCAGTTTTTGATTTTATTGCAAGATAATTATTTTATATTATTTTAATATCAAATTTAAATAAATAATTTTCGAACAAATAAATATAAATACTATAAACTAGAGTTTGTTCTGTTATCATTTTAAATCAAAATAAACACTACTTCATCGTCTCATATAATTTGTTTTTATTTTTTATTTTTGTCCGTTTCATATAATTTGTCCTTTCTTTATTTGAAAATATAATTATATATTTTAATCACATTAAATTTTATATATTTTTTAATTTTAAATAAATTATTTAGTTATTTTAATTTTAATCTATAATTATTTTTATTATACAATAATTATTTTTACTAACATACTTCTTAATTATTTACTAATTATACTTTACCTAAATTTTCATATCTACGGCAATGCACCATGTTACATGAGACGGAAGGAGTATTGATTTTGACACAGTATCCAATAAAAATATTACTCCCCGTCGTACTTAATTTGTTCATTCTTTCTATCTATGTCGGACCCACATAATTTGCATTTCCTTTATTAGAAATATAATTAAATATTTTAATCATATTTTAAAATTCATAATTTATAATATATTTTTATTTTAATTAAACTATTTAGTCATCTTAATTTTACTAATTAAACGCTACCTAAAATTCTCTGCCTAAGTTAAAGAGAGTATATTCTTTTTTAATAAAAATCAAACCAAAATACTAGCTCTAAGTGGTCACGTGTTATTTTTGAATATTAATTATTATATCAAAATAAAATACAAAGAAAAAAATTTGTAAAAATATTTTCGTTAGTATCTTGTAATACTAATAAAAAATATTTTTATAAAAAATTATACAAATATAAAAATATTTTTTAATATTAAGTGCAATAAACATGACCTCTAACGGCGGACGAAAAAAATATTATTTAAATATAAATATAAATTAATATTGAATTTCAAATTAGATTAACTAAACAAAGAAAATTAATTTTGGAATTATTAAACGATACACATAAAAATGAGCAATGCAATAAGACATATCGTTAATTGAATGCAGCAGGGGCAGGGTTTTGGGCCACTGTTGAGTCGTCCACTCTTCTCCTATTGGCTCAAACGCAAGTTGCAACTATCTTGTCCTTTCCCACTTACTCTTTCTCTCTCTATCTCTCTCTCTCACGCACTACACACACCAATCAATCTTCTTCTCCTCGTCCTGGCACTGGCAGGCAGGCAGGAAGGCTAATTGCTGCTAGATACAGCCCACTACCATCCCCATCCCTATCCAATCCCTCTTCTCTACCAAAATCTTTCCTTGCTGCCAATTTCTGCACTCCAATCCTCGCCTTGCTATGGTCGCTTTGTAGCCCGACATCATGGACGCAAGGGGATCGAAGAAGCTCAATGTCGTCGGCGATGGCGACGGCGACGGGGGGTACGACACCGTCTGGGAGTGCGTGATCCCGTACGTGGAGGACGCGCGTGACCGGGACGCGGCGTCGCTCGTGTGCAAGCGGTGGTACGAGATCGACCGCATCACGCGGAAGCACGTGACCATGGCGCTCTGCTACACCGCGACGCCGGAGCAGCTGTCGCGGCGGTTTCCGCAACTCGAGTCGCTGAAGCTCAAGGGGAAGCCGCGCGCCGCCATGTTTAACCTAATTCCTGAGGATTGGGGCGGCTACGTCACCGCCTGGGTGGACGAGATCGTCCGCTCGTTCCCTCAGATGAAGTCGCTCCACTTCCGGCGGATGATTGTCAGAGACTCGGATCTGGAGCTCCTCGCCGTCTCCACCGGGAGGATTCTCGAAGTCCTCCGCCTCGACAAGTGCTCCGGCTTCTCCACCGACGGACTTCTCCACATCGGACGCTACTGCAGGTTAGCACAAAATTACTCAAAAGTCAAAATTAATCAAGCCTGCGTGTTCATACTACTTTGCACTGTTGGATTGCTTCCATTCCTATTTTTGCCTGATTCACGGATTTTATGTGACTGATCTTTCGATCTTCGCCATGATTGGTCAACTCCTTGAATTTTCGATTTCCTGGTCAGTTGTTCGTTGTAACAACAGTTAGGGTTGGTTCCAATCTGTTTTTGTTCTTCTGTTCTAACATCTTTACATTTCTCTGAGTTCTTGAATCTGTTTGACTACGATTCTAGGGTTCTAAGACCCACTTTCTATTTCCTTGGTTGCTGTTTATAGCACCTGCTGGTATTCAATTTGACATTTGTCCTGTTGTGGTTAGAGGAAAGGTTGATGATGATCTGTAACAATGTCAATGATGAAGAAACAGATACTTCTATTTATGTTGGTAGAACGCATTCATGGCACTTTCTGGATTGCACAGTTACATTTACCCTTGTTAAATCTTTCGATAAAATTGCCAGAAAGTTCTTTGCTTCTTTATTGTTTTCATGACTATGTGCAAAAGGAAAGTCTCTCTCTCTCTGCCTCTTTTTTTTTTTTTTTACCATCATGAAGGTCAAAAACAGAGCAATGACTCTTATAAGCATACCAATAAAAACAAAGGGTAAATTACATTATTCTTTGGTGAAACTGTTTGGTAAAACTCTGTAAGTTCGAAAATCGAAGAATAATGTATCAAATGTTAGGAATGGAAGTGCCCAGTGAGAGTTCTACATAGATTTTTACAAAAACGTATAGGTCTCACACAAATTTTAAACTACATGATAGAACGACGATGTTTTAGTAAACTACGTAGGGATAAGATATAATCTAATTTACCCAAAGAACAAGAGATAGTAATTGTTTGAGCTTAGGTTCGTGTTCCTTAAAAATATTGTTTGAGCTCGGATGTTTTGAATAATATCACCATTGTTTTGAACTAGTGAATGCTGTTTAAGGATTGAATTTGAGTCTAATATTACAACAAAATGTAACTCTAGATGTGAAAACAGGTAATTTAGTCTCTTAACAAACACTATCGAAAGCTTGTGAGCAAAGCTTGAACTTGTTTTTAAAACAGAGTTTAAATTCTTGTTTGGGTTCGGCTTGTTTACTTTATTTAACGAGCTTTGATCAAATCTTGACACTTGAATTGTAAAATTATATGCTATCAAACACATTGCAAATCAAGAATTATGATGAAGTAATAGTTTTGAAGACAAAATTCGTTAGCCTTGTTTGTGTGAAGTGAACGTTGGTCTATGAACATACACACTAGAGGGTTGGATTGTTCGAAATTGCTGATGAGGAGTGATATTTTACGAAATACTTTGAGATACTTATGGGTGTCGCATGAACATATAAGCATGACTTTCTTCGCTTGTATGTATCTACAGTCTTCTCGAGTATTATATTCATAATGTAACAGTCATTGCGTTGGAGACTTTTAATCGTTTCTATTAGGGAGATTTCGTGGCGATGTTTGGATTCATGTACAACAGGAAATGATCTTATGCTTGTTCAAAAATGTGTTTCCTTAAAATATTTGTTCTTATAATCGAAATTCCCTTTCTGCAGAAATTTGAGGTCTTTATTTCTGGAAGAGAGCTCGATAGCTGAAAACGATGGACAGTGGCTGCACGAGCTTGCCTCGAACAATACAGTCCTTGAAAGTTTAAACTTTTACATGACGGATCTCATGAAAGTCAGCCCCGGAGACCTCGAACTAATAGCGAGAGGATGCCCATCTTTGACCTCAGTGAAAATTAGCGATTGCGATCTTTCAGACCTCGTCGGATTTCTGAAAACTGCAGCTTCATTGGAAGAGTTTGGCGGGGGCTCTTTCAGCGAGCCTCCGGGACAGATTGGCGAAGGCGTTTTCAACGAGCAATTGAAGAAGTACGGTAATGTCGCATTTTCGTCAAGATTGTGTCGCTTGGGCCTTACCTATCTCGGCGAGGCAGAGTTGCCAATTGTCTATCCCGTCGCCTCAAGGCTCCGAAAATTGGATCTTCTCTACGCACTGCTCGACACCGAGGGCCATTGCTTGTTGCTGCAAAGATGTCCTAACCTGGAGATTCTCGAGGTATGTTTTCGTATTTTGACGACGCCCCGGAAGCTCTTTTTCTTCGTGATGTTTTAAAAAATGTGTTTTTTGTATGCAAAACAGACTAGAAATGTCATCGGCGATCGGGGGCTGGAAGTTCTTGCTCAGTTCTGCAAGAAAGTGAAACGACTTAGGATAGAGCGCGGAGCCGACGAACAAGACATAGAAGATGTCGAAGGGATCGTCTCGCAGCGGGGACTAATCGCGTTGGCGCGGGGTTGCCTTGATCTAGAATACTTAGCTGTTTACGTATCGGACATAACCAACGAATCATTGGAATGCATGGGCAGCCACTCGAAGAACCTCCGCGACTTCCGTCTGGTCTTGCTCGATCGAGAGGAAACCATTACAGACTTACCCCTCGACAACGGCGTTCGTGCCCTCCTCACGGGCTGCCGCAAGCTTCGACGATTTGCTCTCTACCTCCGCCCCGGCGGTCTGACCGACGTTGGCCTCGGCTACATTGGGAAGTACAGCCCGAACGTGACGTGGATGCTGCTCGGGTACGTCGGCGAATCCGACGAAGGGCTAATCGAATTCTCGAAAGGATGCCCGAGCCTGCAGAAATTGGAGATGCGAGGATGTTGTTTCAGCGAACAGGCGTTGGCGACGGCGGTTCTCGGGCTGAAAGCTTTACGGTACTTGTGGGTGCAAGGGTACCGATCGTCGTCATCGTCGGGGAATGGACGGGATCTGATGACGATGGTTCGGCCGTACTGGAATATCGAGCTGATACCGTCGAGGCAGAATGTGGTCGAGCATCCGGCGCATATACTCGCGTACTACTCGCTGGCCGGGCAGCGGACCGACTTCCCGGCGACGGTAAAGCCTTTTGATCCCAGCAATCTTCTAGAATGATCCACGGGTTTGTGTACATAATACCATACCACTGTTGTTTCTGGAGTTGAATGAGTTCGAGTTTTTTTCTTTTTTTTTTTGTAATTTGGTTAGGTTTGATTTTGGTTTTAAGGTTAATGGGATGTAATAAAAGGTAGGGTTAACATTTCGTGTGGATCGATGAATCAATCCTAACGACACTTTGTGTCATGAATGCCGAACCAATGGATCGAGATGAATTGTTTTTAATTTGTTTCATTGAGTTCAGTTTCTTGCCAAATACCTCATTTAATTTCTTGAATCTATTATTCTACAAGTCATTGTATTACTTGTTGAGAGGTGTTCCAATCTTGCTTCTTGTGAGATTTTGAGATTTCCCTGGACACTATCACTGACCCTTTTGGATGATGTTCATGCAAGTTGGTGATTTCTATTCATTGGCGTTATTACTTGTTGTATTCCAAAGTTCAGATATTTAATTTTTTTAGGCAATTTGAAAAAATCAATGGTAAAATAAGCGAAAGCATTCCCTAAAATATCCTTATAGACCTTTTTCCTTCAACTACTCCAGGTATGCTTTTCTACTTTCCCTTTCTCTCTTTTGCTCTCATTTTCTTTTTCTATTTATTTTTATTTTTCCTCGATCTTCTTTTGCCTAGCTTTCAATTCAACTTGGCATTTTCCTTCAACTTCCTTTAATTCTTTTTTGTCCTTAGCCAACCGCTCCTCTCCTTTGCAAGGTCCTCTAGTATCGAGGATTTTGCTTCTTACCTGCCCTCAACTTTAATGGTGAGATCAACCGTCTTATGTGGGATCACTTTTTTCTTGACTTATTCGGCTCGAGGTTTTGATTTTTAGGGGCAAATTGTGTTTGAGTTGGCATTTTTTCTGGTGGTGCTGGCTAGAACTTCTTCTTCCCAAATCCTAAGAGTTATAAAAATTGTATTTTATTGTTTTTCTGCAATGGTTGGAATTCCGATTCAAGCTACTATGTTTCTGGATAGTGAATCCTTTCACTCGCCTTTTAGCCAACTCAACTATGCTAGCTTGAATGTCTTTCTCCATGATCACCTTTCCCTTGACTTTATCCTTCACTGGCGGGGCCTCATCTTGAGATTGTGATTGCATAAAAAGGTCACCAGATTCTGTGGCGCTCTTCATTGATGAACACTTTAATAATTTTGATAACTGGAAAATTCATTCATTCCAGCCATTTTTTGTGAAATGCTGAGGTGCGCCATAATTAATTCTTCGAGCGGCTTCTTGGCAGACATCTCCACTTCTGCGGCTCTACATAGTCATGAATTAAATGGCTATGATATAATGTGTTGATGAATGTATCTCCCACAAGTGGTGATATCTTGACTGATTATTTTCTCAATATTCACTTTCTCGATAACAGAGGATTTTTGGCGATAATATAGAGATATTGCCCCTTAACATGCATAAGATGTGAGGTGCATAGGATTCATAGTGCTACCCATTTCACAAATGGCATTGGCTCTTTGTGAATGATCTTTCAAACGGCCGTCCTATTTTCAACAATTGGCTTTTGCATGAAAACAAAGAATAACCTCATCAGTTTCTCATCAGTGGCCTTCTCTAGGCTTGTGCTACTTTTATTGGACCGACTATAGGGAAGTTCCTCATTCAGTGATAAATGAGTTGTGGTTGCTTTTGGGATGGCATCGAATCTTACTTTTTGAAAAAAAACTGCGATTAATCCATTTCTCAATATGGTATTTCACATAGAATTCTCTTACAATTGCAGTACACTAGGTCTTGATGGGATGATAAAATAGTGGCAATAGTCCGGCCTTGGATGCCCATTGAATGAACTTATCACTAAGTACTGTGATTTAAACCCCATTTTCAAAATATAAGCCTGTTCCTTGTATCACCGGTAGTGAGAAATCATGTTGATGAAACGCAGCGGGTGGTATGTGTTGGTTTTTACTAATAATTTTTGTAGTCTTCTCTATCTCTCATTTCTTCGACTCCCTGTTCGTAGTTGGCATGTATATTTTTAAAAAAATGCTTAAATATTCTTTCTTAAAAGATGGGTCTCTTCTATACTTCCACTTCAAACTCTGAAAAAATACGCACAATTTTTTTCCTTCTGTTAGTTCAACAAATTAGAAATAGGCAACTCCAAATTCACGATTAGGATCCTACCTTCGTCTAAGTGAACCCAAAGATAGTAATCTTCTAGAAAAAGGTCTTGCCGCAATTGGTAGGGTATACTTGTCAGTCTTCTTAGGCTGTCCCAATCTTTGGATGTGACTAAGAAGTTTCTCCTATTGAAATGCTCAATTGAAGGGATAGATTCTACTAGTTCTTTTCTAGATGCTTGCGTTAAACATCTCCTTCCATCGAGCGAATATAATCTGGAAACCTTCTTTGGGAGCTTCTCCTTAAGCCACACAAAGTCTTTATGCTGTTTATTCTTTTTTTTCTCCACTAATAACTCGAAAACTCGCCGGATATTCTATACGTCTGATTCCGCACTAGTGAATGCCATGGATGGTAGATCTTGAGAATATCCTGGACGCCTTTGGATTCTTCGTTCAATGATTGTGAACTCTAGAGTGCATACACCTGAAACCTAATCACGATAAAGTAGATCTATGTTTTAAATAGACGCAATTGGGATGATTATATTCATGAGCATGAGATAATAGAGTTACATCCAAGTGTTTTTCCTACGATTTTTAGGGTACCACTTCACTCCCCGTCGGAATGAAAAGAATAAATTAGCCAAAGCCATATCGAAATGAAGGTAGAATAAACAACACAAAAGGGAACTAACAAAGATTTTGACATAGACTCATAAGGAAATAGAAAATCATTCCAAAAGGAAACAAGTTCCCTTAAAATAAAACAAATATGCTCATACTGGATTTGCATGTAAAAGACATAAATAAGCACTTAAAATGCGATAGGTACATAGTGAACGAGGAAAAGTTGTATGATCACTACATATGATCTAGGTTCGAAAATTAAAATTTTAATGCACAAACCACCCATGAAATAAAATGTATATACCTCAAATCACTTGTAAGTGCTTGAAATTTTGTATGGATAGGCTTGAGAATGAAAAAATTGTCGGAAAATTTAACCGATTTGAAAGGAATATAGAAAGACTCAAATGAAACAAGAGGGAAGTAAAAGATTTAAGAGGCTTTTAAATCCTTGGTGGTAAACTTGTAATTTCTAGAAAATGTAGGGATTAGAATGAAATATTTCAAAATTTTTGCCTTGTATTTCGAAAAATTGCTAGAGTAACCTCGTGAAGTGTGACCATTGAATTATTAAAGTCCTTATTCTACAAAGTTATTAAACTATTCAAAAGGTGATTAATCTAACTCAAACTGTTGAAAATGAAATGAAAAATAGTAAATTAAACTAGAAAAACATGTTCGTGTAGTAAAAAATTAACAACATATAATTTTATTTTTTTTATATATTTTTTGTAAGGATGGGCGAAAATGATACTGTGAAAATTATATTGGCAAGGAATTTCCCTTTCCTCACATTGAATCCTTATTCAGTATTAAACAATTTGTCAACTGGAGGTTGGTTTCCATTGATCGCGGTTGAAGGAGTTAGGTCCTGGGTTTTTGCATCGTGAAGCATGGAGAATCTTTCAATATACATTTTAAGCCACATTCCATTGACAACAAATCCATCATAATCATCTAATGAGTTGGGATTGTAGACTCGCACTGCTTCTCTGGGTAGCTTTTGTTTAACAATGTATGACACCGTCCATCGTGATTTGAGCTTTCTTGGGAATTAGTACAACTTGGAGCTATAAAGTATAATTTTATTTCATCCAATGAAGTGCTTGTGGTGAATCATTTTTTCATGGTAGAACGAACTCACTTTTTATAAATCTTTGTGTTTTCATAGGCAAGAAAAAAATACTCGTTCAAACTAATAAGATAATTCTTTTGCTTTTCTTGAGTTGGAAAAATAGAGAATAGTTAATAATTTATTAATTATTAAGAAATACAATTTTTCTGCTAACACTCGAAAACTAGTAAATTTATCAAAGTTCTAGAAAATAAATTGGATAGGTGGCTAAACATGCGATTCTTATCACGAGTTGTGCTAGCTATTCTCGTGACATGACTTGGAGCTCTTACAATTTGAGAAATTGATGTAAAAGAGTTGATGGTCAGTCAATCTTGCTCTTACGCTGGATTAAGGTGATTAACCTTTGAAAGAAAAGGCAACCAAGAGCTGGTACATTTAAAAGATGACTTAGCCAATTTTGGTTGGCGAGGTTCAAACTTGAGCTTTCAGATTCACAACCACACATCACTTGTAACACCCCAAATAAAAAAATCTTGAAGTATCACACGCAAACACCAAAACAACATCACGTAAGAAAATAAAAACATGACGTGCCTCGATGCTAAGGCTAAAATATCATAATAGTGTGTGTAAAGTTTTTCTTTGCGGAAATCTTAAGATATATTTTCCAACGCCCTTAAGCATTTAAAAAACATGTAATTGTAAGAAGTCTTTGCATTTATTAAAAAGTCTCAATGCATCCCAAAAGTAGGGATCTAAAAAATAGAGAGTATGTAAAACTATAAGTTCGGACATTATTAAATAAAAAGTCATGCATGCTCAATAAAATCCCATCCCTATAATGCATCAAGTGGATGAAGGTCCGGAAATCAACTCTGCATAGAAGAAGGTAGTAAACATTAGCTAAAGTTGAGTAAGAAAATAAATATGCAATGTACAAAATAACTAACAACAATAAATGATAGTCATACAACTAGCTAAAATCCATGGCTCATAACACATCAACCGACTTGCAAATCCACGGCTAAGTCGAAAAAGCTTTAGCATATAACTTATTCTCTCAAAGTTTCTCTAAGACCATTCTCAAATGGTGAGCATGAGAATCCAAGTCAGGAGAATAAATCAGAATGTCATCAATAAAGTCAACAACAAAAAGGTCAAGCCACATCCCAAATATTAGTTGCATCAAGTCCATAAACACTTCCTGGGCATTGGTGAGCCCAAAAGACATCGCGGTAAACTCATAGTGTCCATACCGCATCCTGCAAGCTATTTTTGGGATTTCCTAATCCCGTACTCGGATATGATGATACCTTGATCTCAAATCAACCTTCGAGAACACACTTGCCGATCAAAGAGGTCCTCGATCCTCGACTATGGATACTTGTTTTTTACAGTAAGCTAATTAATTTCCTGATACTCGATGCACAATCTCATGCTACCATCAT